ATGTAGATGACTGCTTCATCATTTATGATAATACTTTAACCAACCCTCAAGCACCCTTAACTTTGACATTAATATAGTAACCAACATAGCTTTTGATATTGAACTAAAATATAATAATAATTTATCATTTTTAAACATCACAGTCCAAAGATTTCATAACAGCTTAAATTTAAAAAAATATATTAAACCATGTAACGTAAGGAAAGTTGTTAACTATCATTCCAGTACACCTATGTATATCAAGAAAAATATTTTTAACATGTATATCACCAAAATTAAAACACATACGAGCAATTACCTTGAACAAACTAAAGAAATAAAACACATTTATAAAATCTTTCAACTAAATGACTATCTAAATAAGATACTAAAAAACTGGCTTACCAACACCAACCCTACTAAAAGACAAAAAATATAACACCAACTCAAATGACTTATAAAAAACTTACATCTCCATAGTATTCAAAAAAATAAAAATACTATTAAATAATATACACATAATATAACTCTAGCCCTAATATTTACTAATAATATTAAAAAGTTACTAATAACTAAAGAANGATGATATATTTGTAAATACTAAATTTTGAATTATAAACAACTCGACTAACGACAATTTACATTTCAGATAGAATACATTAATAAGCACTTTATATTTCAATTTTATTTTCTGTAAATCCAATAAATTCATTATGCTGTTCACGTGCACATACATTTTGCAAAAATTTTACAGTGATACCGTAAGAAATAATCATATTCGAATTTAACTTTACATTATATTCTCGTTTAGATTTCACTTTTTTCCAAAGAAATTTTTTGACCTCAAAAATATAAATCAACAAAAAAATAAATATTATTCATAACGGTTCTGTCACAGGTTAGAAATTTGTCTTCAAATTTCCTGGCATCTGTTCCTTCGTCGCTCACAAAGTAACTTATTTGACGTGAAAACTTGGCACCAATTTGGACATTTTCAACTCGGTAAAAGAAAGCAAATAAACGAATTTTCCAACATTTTTCTAGATACAACTTCGTTTCCAGATCTGCTACTCCGTCTTTATTGCAAACGGTGTCAAACGAAAACTGCTTGTTGTCCAAAGAGTTAATATACCCGTTTACGCACATTCGAAAACATTCGCCAAGCTTCACCGGAAATCGAAGAGCCGTGACGTAGCAATCTTCCATCACAACTACTTCGCTGCTAAAATATATGTAACCTTTCATCTTTCTGTTTGCGACCATAAAAGGAACTCCACGATTTATGTACGAGAACAAGTTACAATAATTTATTTTGCTTCTTGTTTTTGTTTCTCGACTGAAGTAACTTGGATAAAAGGAATAATTACCAGTCTTATAAGCATACCAGATATGACTCTTTTCTATTGCGCTTAACAAGTTCATTGTATAAAGACAAGATTGCAAGTCGTATTCATTCATGGCAAGAAATCTGACTTTTCCAATAAATGGCTCCATAACATTTCTTATTGCATTCCTTTTCAATTCTTCATTCATAAAATGGAAGTTGTCTGCACCCAATTTTCTTTGAACTTCTTCTATGCTCCAATGATACACGGCTTGGAGTAAACGCAATTCACTGACAGATTCATATATCGCTCGAGATACCAGTCTATCAATTGTTGCAATTTTACAGCACATAAAGTCGACTGTTGCAAATAGTCTTTCTCCGTGTTTGTCGAAAGTTAGCCAGCAATAATAAATTATGACCAGATCACCGATCTCACGTGCAAAATCGTGGATTGTGCAGACGGTATGCAAATTTATTTGCCCAATGATAAATGATCTGCATTTCATTCTTAAATGGTCTAACTCGTATCTTAAACTCAGATGATACAGATCGAAAGCGTGTATAATAGAGGTCAATCCGGGATCGTCCGTCCGTACATAACTATTTAAAATATATAAATTATAATTTATGACAATGTATTGAAATTAAATGTAAGGTAAATATCGTGAAAAACTTACGTAACGAATTGTCTGATGGTCTCGATTGGATAAGGCATAAACAGTACTTTCGAATTTTCAACATATGTAATGAGAAGTTCCAATTGCCTGTTCAGGACTTTACTTAACTGAGCTTCTGATATAACAATTTCTTCGTTTTTTTCGTTTCGGATTAGTATCTTACTCGAAGAAAGCCTAAAACAACAAAAAAGGTATTTATTATTACTTTCGAACAAACATGTCTGTTGTACTGTACAGTACGGTAGTTGTAGTATTTCCGACAAAGGTGTATGAACAATAAATGCATGACTAATATTTTAAAAATAGATATTTTATTTTTGTATTAGCAAATCATCTTGATTATCGTGAAACCATCAAAACCCAACTTTTATTTTTTAATAGCTATCGCACCAGGAAACGCTGCATGTTTTAAAAGAAAAGACATCTCTATTGTATGAACAGGGAAGTATTTCGGGATATGCCCTTCAGTAAACTAAGCAGGGGCGTAGCCTGAAATACAGTCCTGTTAACAGAATAAAGACATTCCTGCATATTTTAAAGAAGACGCTTTGTATGATAGATCAGATTATTATTTATCAATAGATGTTAATAATAATATCAAACTGAACTTTTGATAATGTAAAGATTTTTGTATATGTATATTGTTTTTGACAAAGGTTTGACGGTTCTTTTGTTAAATAAATGTATCTTTGATACTTCCTCTATAACTCCCCGACTAGAGTTAGAAAATAATTAAGAAAAACAAACAAACTAACTAACTAACTAACTAGTCTGTACAGTTTTCGTTATTAAAAATGTAAATAATACAGAATTTGTGTGGAATTATTCTGTAATTCTCCACGAACAATAATTGATTTTTATGTAACCTATCGTATTCTGAATCTCTATGTAATATAACAGTTTATGTATATACAATATCCTAACTTATAATGCTAGTTCCAAATTGCGATTTTTTGGAATTTTCGATTATTTTGTTATACAAGCTTGAAAGTAAAAAATCATTACGGTAACATAATATTAGTCAATCAACATCTATTGTAATAAGTTATTAAACAAGTTCTTCAAGAAAAAATCACCAGCTTCTCCCTCTTAATTAGGAAATAATATACGAAATTCTACTTTAAAGAAAAAGCCTTTAATTGATAAGTTATCAGTTAAAAGCCCACCGAGCGCTTCGAGTCGCATTGCTTGTGGCTATTCCATGCCGGGTGGCATCAAGTGGTATCCTTGTCGCTTACAAGGAAAAGGAGTGTAACCTAACACTGTCGTATCTATGTATTTATTCTAAACATGATTTCTCTCGCTTTGTAGACCGATAAATACTAGACAGTTCGAATAAGTGAATTTCTCTAATTTTATTTGGTACTTTCATGTGAAACTTGTAATTATTGATCAAATAACGTTTATAATGTTCTGCTATAACACGTTTCAGATCTATTCTTTTAAAACATTTTGATCTTAATATGAATAATTACCAACAAAATATATTGTAAAATTATTGGCATCAAATTAATCTTAATCAAATCTATGTACAAAATGTAATTAATTAGTACATTCGTTCATCTGCCATAAACCAATAAATAGCACTTTTACATTTTGGAACTCAACGTCCTACCTACTAGTTGATAGAACTGAGGGATCCGCGATTTACATGTCGACAAACACTAAACTACCAGAATTAAATATTGTAGAAAAAATGATTATTAATCATATGTATATTGAAAATTAAACAAAGCTTATTAACTCAAACTTTGAAGACCGAAAATAATTTCACTAAAAAAAAGGGAAATTTTAAGCTAATTAAATCATTAGACTCTTTCACTTTTAGGGTTCAATTTCTCGAATCGAAAATTGTAAACAGATTTTTATTTACACGAGGGAATAAGTTTTTTTGTGAAGTTTTGCTTAGTTATTGTCTCTGGTAAGACAATTGAAAGTTTTGTTAATTAAATACTTTTAGTTTAAATATATTAGAAAACTTACATATAAAAATTCAGTAAGAGTATGTTCATTTGACGCGAACATATGTCATGAAATAACTACAAATAACAGACAGAAAATCAGCTTATGTCATTTATCACGTTAGGTTTTAAGCTCCCGAAAGCAACACAGCATCGAATTCTTTCTTAAATTTTTTTAGAAGAGACACATACGATAGTTAATGGCAAAACACGTAAAATTATTTGTCGCTCACATATATAGAAAAGCTATAAATAGAAAACAATACAAGTACTTACCGACTCTGCACCTCTGGATCCGCCATTTCTTCGGCTCGTTTCCGCACTAAACTCTCGAGTATGACGTCGAAGAACCGAGGCAACACGCGCTTACAAGTAGAAAGAAATTATCACGGTAATTGGCAGCATATGTCACATGACTTTGACGTCACCGCCTGTCCGCAGGAACACTTAGTTTTCTAATTGCATTACTTGTGTATTCTGTATATCCGACATTAAAACTGACTTTATACATGTATTTATTGCGATCTCACGTATACGTATGTAAGAAATTAGCATATAACTAAGTGGACCATTACGTGCTTACGAGTAACAGCATGACGTTCGTCATGCTGTTACTCGTAAGCACGTAAGGTCTGTGGCCTGTAGTGTGGTCTAGGTGTGTTAGTCTCATATTAACATGATTGTTGTTTCGAGTTCTGTTGGAGTAAATTTTTTTTACACTGTAATTTTTAAATTTATTATATTGTCAGGTAGAAAAACTGAAAGTCGTAGAAAATGAATAAACAGCAAGGTTGGAAATTATATTATTTCTTTCAAATTTCAAACTTTCACAATATTTATATTAATTAAGACTTTCAGACCTGAATTTTTTGTGCAGTGAAAAAAAATTTTTTTGTNTTAACCCTTTCAGACCTGAATTTTTTGTGCAGTGAAAAAAAATTTTTTTGTGTTGTAATATTAATTAGTAATATTTTTATGATTTAAATAAGCAAAAAGCATTGAAATTTATCTTACCATTTTCAAAATACAGTCTGTACACAAGTGTGTACACTGGGTCACGACCTATATTGAATCACATTGAAATCATAAACATACAGAATAATATTTTTACACAATATCGTAAATTGTGAACTTTTTATTATAATCAATACAACTAATTCACACATACACAATATTAACTATGCTTTTGAGTTTATATTGTAATCTGTTAGAAATAATAAACACAGTTACTTTACATGGAATGCACGAAAGCAATTTTTTTCCTTTGATAAACAAAGGTGAACCCCACATTTTTCACATTTTACTCGAGAACGTCCTTTGCACTTTGGAAATTTGCATCTGCTAGGCAAAGCAGCGTTTTCGTGAAGAGGCATATGATCAATTCCATCAAACTGAATTTCTTCAGGAGGTCTGGTTTCTCCTCGTCGTCTTTGATTAGAAGTCTCTGGAGATGTGGCAGATGGTCGACCTCTTTTTCTGCTGGAAATTTCCTTACCACTCATAACCAGGACATAAGCCAGTCTCATACGAAAATGCAGGAGATCCATTATTTTATTCTGTTGTACACCAATGGCTTTGGCACTTGTTCTGTATTCCAACCAACTCTGTACAACTGCAAAATCTACAGCATGGAAAATTGCTCGCAGTGTCCACTTCTTAGATTTTATAAAAATCCTGTAATAACTTATCAATTGGTCAAAAAGATCTACACCACCCATAGAGTGGTTGTAGAGTTTCACGACTTCTGGCCGATCAATGCTGATATACTTTTTTTCTTTCTTTTCCCAGCGTTCAACTTTGTCAGATTTTCCTTTTCCAATGAAATTGGAAGCAAAAACAACTGATTTGTTGTCAACCCATTTTACCAGTGTTATGTTATCTGTGCTGCAAATTTCTTCAGAAAATCCTCTTTCCTTCTTCAGAGCTTCCTTGTCCGAAATTAGAGGAGGATTAGCAAACCGGTTAATTCTGACAGTTCCAGCAGCACATATGTTGTCTTGTTTCAATGCTTGAAATAGGTTGTAAGAAGAAAAGAAATTGTCAAAAAATATTTTATGACCCTTTTTCTGTTTAATTCTCTCAACAAACTGTAGAACTACAGTTGGTCCTTGTCCAAAAGTTTTCAACAAAGATTTCTGAAATTCAGTGGATGCTCCCTGATAGAGAATAAAGTCATAAGTTTGTCCACTCTTACCACACAGCATATACATTTTTATTCCCCATGGAGTTGGCTTACCCTTTATATATTGCTTCACAGAGAGCTGTCCTGTAAATGGAATCATTGCCTCATCAACTGCTAGCTGTTCCTCCACAGGTAACTCCAGACATCTGTTGCGTAGAGCAGTGTATATAGGTCGAACTTTATAGAATTTGTCTTTATTATCAGCCGGAATTCTCATGTTGTCTACAAGATGCAAATTTGTTCTCAGTTGAAAGAATCTGTCTCTAGTCATACTATCCAAGAATAATTGCATATTCAGTGATGTGTCCCAATACATTCGAACTCTGGGAAATTTTAGAGTTCCCATAATTATATGAAGCCCAAACAATGTTTTGAGTTCTGCAGATGTGGTTGATCTAAAATTTCTAGTCATTCCACTTTGTAATGCATATATATTTGTCATTTCAGCCATTGTATCAAAGAGGTTATTTGGAATATACTTGCCAAAATATGCCGAAGGAACCAATAATTCTTTGTCTAAGTCATCTGGTTCCCATTCAGAATAAAAATCCCCCACCGAAATTGGGCGATGACGCCACTTGATATCTTTTTTTTTAGTTAGGGAGTATTTTATTTCGTCAGTTTCACTGTAATTAACTTCATCAGAGTCAACATTATCATTATCATTATAATTATCATTTTCTCCACTTGATATTTCTTGTTCATCAGTCTCTGCCCTGTTGATCTTGTCAGCTCCTACTCGCACTGGTTGTTTATGTGAAGCACAGGTAGATTTGTCTTCAATAAATGTTTCTTCATCTGAAGATAACTCTAAATCTGACACTTCCCCTGTAGTTAACATTTCTAAAAGGACATTGGCATCCTGCTCCATGTTGTATTTCTTGTTTGCCATATTGAAAAATCTAAAAAATAAAAAATAGTCATAAATAATAATCTCAGTTACATCATCTGATAAAATACCTGTTATAAATAAATAAATTTAAAAAGTGTAAACATAGTAACCACACTGTGAAATATAAAATTTGAATGCTGCTGATGTTACTAACATAATAATTGTAAAGATTATTGGTAATATAAACGACTCATAATATATATATTTTAATGTAATACTGCTTATAAGTTGATAAATAACCGTTACAATGACAAAAAACACTATATTATATGATCATAAAAAGTTTTTATAATTATGTCACTATTTCTTTGTTACAGTGCTTGAGACCGTGTGGTTACATTTGTGTACACTGATAAAATTGCTTCTGTTACAGGTTAAAAAACATAATTTTTATAAAACTAACTATTACAATATGTAAACTGACTGTTTACAAATATGCATGAAAGATATTAATATCACTATATAGTTATAAAATAAATTATAACTTACCAATACCAACGATGTTTCTGGATGTCAAAAACAGCTAAGTGGATCTTCCATCTTTGTTCAAATTAGTTATCCTATCACACATTAGATGGCGGTACTAACGAATAATGTATAAACAAACCTTTCACAAGTGTGTTCATGAGGCTTACATTGACAACAAATATATCTGAAGTGGGTAAATCATAGTAAAAATGTTATGTAACCGATTGTAGCCAGTGGGTCTGAAAGGGTTAACTCATTTCTATCATTTTACACCTAGAATCATCAGTTCACTGGTTACTTTTGTCCTTGTAAGTAATTTATAGTTAACATTAAGTAAATGTATATAAATAAATTTATTTATTATATAATCAGATAAATAATAACACGCGTTAACTCAATTTTTAAGCTCCTGAGGAATCATCAAACCTTGGCAATTTGCTTTGTATTTTAACATAGATTACAGATGATAGGCCAGTATAAAATGCTTCTAAAACATTTTATACTCGCCTATAATCATTGTTTTATCATTCTAATTTTGTCGACTCTAATGTGCATTTTCCCTTCGAAGGTCTCTCTATCTTGACGTGGTGGAGGGGCTTGTGTACTTCATCAACCCCGAGAACTATGCCGGCGGTAGCCTAGCTACCGGCAGGGCCTCCCATGCCGGACAGGTTTTCGTGGAGTTGGAGCCAGACTGAGAGAGATTACTAGAAGAAGGAAAACTCTGACCCAAAACCTCGATAGAGGGAAGCAGCTTCTATCGATACTGGCCTGAGGCTGAAATCAAATGATAACGGAATGGCTCATGTCCAGACAACTACAAGCCTGGTCATAGTGATTGCAAGGTTGTAGCACTGCGATGCAGAAGGCAAGAGGAAACCACTACATTATTTTCCCAAGTCTACCTACAAATACCATGCACTCTACAAATCAAACCATGGCCCCAGTCTCCGTCAGACCTTTAATTAATGGTCAGGGTGTGCTAATGTGAGATCAGCCTGGGGTGCAGGGTAGGTTGTTACGCCTGTATCACTTACTAGGCAGCTAGTCAGTGAGACCAGTTCTCGGTCGTCCAAAGAACGTCTTTTCCCAAACGTAGGGAAACGAGTGGCGGAGGGTCTTTTGTTAAGCCGAATATTTAAGGTGGAGGTTGGTGATGGCGAAATCACCTCCCTTACGTCAGGTTCCTGACACCAGTTTGTCAATTAAATTCCGCGGACAAACACGCGTATAAGATCTCATTCAGTCTCAAATTAAGAGGCATTTCATTTATAAAATAAATNAGATATTCTTTCAATTAAGCTATCTCGTTAATTAATTTAGTAGCAAAATACCTTATAAACATTTTTGATTAGCACAAAAATAAATAATTGTGTTTTTATTTATTTAAAAATAATGTGGTGTAATGCTGACATTTCTTGTAATTTTAATTAATGAAGCTTTTAACATCTATTGTATACGATTTCCTGCAATGCTCTCACAAGACTCATTCCATCTGTCAATTGCGTGTGTTTTAAGAAATTGTTGTTAATTTCACTTTACATTATGCCAATAGAAAATTCGACATAAAAGTAGCAAATCACCTCGATGATCAATTCTCACTTCTAAAAACATGTGATGCCGGATGCACCACCCACATGTAGAAGCAGACCTATACTATAAGCCAGTGTAGAATACACCTGTTTAAGGTTATCGTCAGTTTTAAATAATCATTATTTCTAGTCAAGCGATTAAAACCTTTGGTAAATACATTTATTTTAAATATTCTAGAGATTGTTAGTTATATAAGGAAAAAATATTTATGACACAAATGCATGTAATATAATTAGAAATGAAAAAGCTGTTTCTCGATTTACAATTCAACCCGTTATGTTTTTCTTCCTTTATGTTAACTATATGAGAACATTTCCAAACGCGATGTTATAGAGTAGTACATACATTGAAATAAATCTAGAATAGCTGTTAAGTCTATCTGCCTCGATGTTTTCTTGTTTTCTACAAACGAAGTGTAACAACTTTTATAAATATCGAAAGCATTTGGCTTGTCGAGAAAAGAATATTTAAATAAATACTTGCACCTCTTTATCAATTGCAAATCACAATACTCGGCTGATAGCATTAAACAGAAAACAGAAACTTTGCGTTATTGAAATTCAATTTATTACAAACAATTGCAGTGCAATTGTGTACAATTTTATTTATCGCACACTGTAAACTTAATTTAACGTTATACATTAAAATATTTTACATTTCTTGCAAGAAAACTCATTAACTCGACAGATCAAAAAATTAAACTAAAAGAATCGCAAGAAAAATGTTCTGCTCCGAAGAAATCCTTCGAGTAATATAAAAGACAGGACAGGTATTTTCTAAGAATTCTTGTCATGCCCTTACGGCATGAAAAAGATAAAAAGCATGTTTCAGTTACAAGTAAGTTTGAAGATAAATCTACAGTAGACCCCCTTATAAGACGGTAGATACGTTCCGTTCTTTATGAATCGATTTCTTACGAGTCCTTGCCAATCACAGCCCGACACGTGTGAAGTTTACGGACTACGGCTGTTTGAAAGGTTTTCTTCCATAAAATTAATCGATTCTACACTAATTCGACTCAACATTTCCAAAATACGTATATTTTTTTGAAAATAATCCGTATAAACTACACTATAAACAAAAAATTGTANCAATCATCTGCCAGAAACTCTTTCATGTGAACGGATGAAAGGGGAATCAAAGAGGGGTAGATAGTTCCCATCTGAGCGAGATTTTTAGCGGATAAGGGAAAAACAGAGGTTGTACGAACTTCCCTCAAAGGAAGTAACATCTGTTATCTGCCTTTTCCCACGTTAAAACATTATTTTTCTCACAAAAATGAAATAATATTTGGTGACAATATTTAATATTATTAATAAAATTATTAAATTAGACCCAGGGGCCTTTCAGATCTCACACTAAGAATCTGCGGAAATACCAATATTGGTACTTGGAATGTGAGGAGACTATATGAAAAGAATGTTGGATAATGTCATAAAAGAGATGAGGGAGTACAACCTGGATATTCTTGGAATTAGTGAAGTCAGATGGACTAATTCAGACAAAATGAAAGTTGGAAACCACACAATTTGGCACTCCGGAGGTTACACACACAATAACGGAGAGGCCACTGTAATGAATGAAAAATTCGCTACGGCTGTGGAGGGGTTCAAAGTACAGTTTGACAGAGTAATAGCTGTGAAATAAATACGAAACTCTTTAAGTTAAGCATAATACAAGTATATGCAAATGGCCAAGACATAGAGGCATTCTACAAAGAACTAGAAAACGCACTGGAAACCACTAAGTCACAAGAAATTACCATTACAATGGGAGATTTAAATGCAAAAGTCGGCAAGGGTAGAGTGTTGAAAATTAAGGGCCATTTGGTCTAGAAGAAAGGAATGAAAGAAAAGACAGACTAGTGGAATTCTGCAGTAAATACAACTTAACAATAGCAAATACCTGGTGTGATCAACCGAGAAGAAGACTATATACGTGGAAAGCCCCTTCTGATAACTCTAAAAACATAATAAGAGATCAAATAAACTATATCATGACCAATCAAAGATTCAAGACCATGATCATTAAAACCAAAACTTATCCTGGTGCAGATTTTGGCTCTGATCACAACTTACTGGTAAGCAACCTTAATTTAAAACTAAAATTAACTAAGAAAAAAAGCCCCAAACAGATATTAAACAGATAGGCACGGAAAAACATCTCGGTTACATCAAGATATCAAAAAATAATCAAGAACAAACTGAAAGAACACAAAGACAGCAACTACATGACAAATCCAGAGGTTCAATGGCAAATACTAAAATCAGCAATTGTAAATGCAGCTGAAAAAACAATTGGACACAAAAAAATTGAAAAGAATAAGCCCTGAATGACAAATGAAATCTTACAGCTCATGGACGAAAGAAAGAAGTATAAAAATAAAAATCAACAAATGTATATGAATATACACAGGCAAATGCAGAAAGAAATTGTAAGAGCAAAGGAAAACTGGCTAAAAATTAAATGCGAAGAAATGGAGTTATTGGAGAAAAACCGAAAAAGGGAAGGCACCAGATGAAATGAACTATCTTATTACGGTATCTATATCCAAAAAAACAGGAACTATAAAACATTGTGAACACAGAACAATTAGCTTGCTAAACCATATAAGAAAAATATTACTAAAAATCATTCACAACAGAATATATGGAAAAATTGAAAGTAACATCAATAATACTCAATTTGGATTTCGAACAGGAGTTGGCACAAGAGAAGCAATCTTTGCTCTCTCTCAAATCGCTGAAAAAACAATCGATATGAATGTTTCCATTTTTGCATGCTTCATAGACTATTAAAAAACATTTGATAAGATACGACATGATAAACTACTTGAAATACTTTGTAACTTAGGACTAGACAAAAGAGACATTAAGATCATTAAAGATGCATATTGGAATCAGAAAACAAAATTTAGATTCGGAAACTAAGAATCTGATTGGATTGAAGTAAAAAGAGGGGTCAGACAGGGCTGTGTACTTTCACCAATCCTATACAATTTGTATGCTGAGTACATAATGCGGGAAGCCCTGGAAAATAGAACAGAAGGTGTAAAAATTAACGGGAAAAGTATTAACAATCTCAGATATGCAGATGACAGTCATTCTCGCTACAACAGAAAAGATCTGCAAATACTGTTAAATGAACTAGTATCAAAAAGTGAAGAAATGGGACTCACAGTAAATACAAAGAAAATTAAGACAATATGCATAAGTAAAGTTAAGTACACAATAAAGATGAAATGCAGAGGGGAGAACCTTGAACAAATAGATAGCTTCTGTTATTTGGGGAAAAGATTTTATTCAGACAATAATGTATCAAAGGAAATCCGAAGCAGAATTGGACAAGCTAAAGACAAGTTTAACCAGATGAAAAACATTCTGTGTGAAAATAAACTAATTTACAATTAAGACTAAAAACGGTAAAATGCTACATTTGGCACATTTTGCTTTGTGGATGTGAGGCACGGACACTACGAAAAGACATGGAGAGGAAAATTGAGCCCTTTGAAATGTGGGCAATCAGAAGAATGTTGAAGATCAAGTGGACTAGCAGCACCACTAATGATAAGGTGTTATAGATGGCAGATACTAAAAGAGAATTAATAAAAATAATAAAGAAGAAAAAACTAGCATACTGTGGACACATATTAAAGGGAGAAAAACATGAAATTCCCAAACTCACATTAGAAAAAAAGATTGAAGGAAAAAGATCAAAGGGAAGAAAAAGATGAAGCTGGATGGATGACTTTAAGGACTGGACAGGACTGGATACTGAAAAAATTATTCATAAGACTCACAACAGAGATTCCTGGTATTTGCTGGCCGCCAACCTCCCCTAGGAGAAGGCACAGGCAAAAGAAGAATGTGCATTTCGGAATAATATATTTACGTTAATTCAATTGGGTACAATATTGTACCTAACACCACAGGGATGAATGTATTAGTTCATTTTCACTTGACCTCAAAAGTATCACTGAATGATGAGGGATAAATGTATTCGTTCCTCTTCAGATAAAAATAAAGAGCTCAGATAAAACACAAGTTAAAATTGTACCAAAGAATTAACAAGAAAGGCCGATAAAACAAAAAGATTAAATAAAATCTTTCTCCCTGAGACTGAAGCGTTATTAATGTGACTCAAAAAATTTTAATTTTTCTCGAAATTTGATGCATATATTTTGACTAAACTTTGCAATTTTTCATTAGTTGAGATGAGGAATCCAAAAATATAATAAAAATGGGGCCATGACTCCTTTCGTGATACATTTGCTCAAAGTAACAATGTTCATGCTACTCCCTGACGCGAGTGATTGACCATAATAAAATTTACGAGCAAAAATATATTAAAAAATCATTGCATACCTAACGAAACGTTGTCGAAAAAAACGAACAAAAAGCAAGAAAGAAAGCAATTCACGACGATTGCTTCGTTCATGGATTGCTTGTCTGTGTCAGCAATGCAAGGATCAAGGTTCATGCCCAATTGGAACAAGAAAAAACGAATTTCGATTAAAAAAGACTAGTTAGTTAGAATTGTCCATACGTATTTTAAACGTGTAAATACGTCATTACATATTTATTACATTTATGGCCAGAAAAATATTAAAAAATTAATTTACATAATTTGTAAAAAAAATAAACTTTTACAGCTATAATTAGTAAAAAAAGTTGAATTTTTCACTACTTTTTAAATATCTTTTATATAGAAAAATTCCTATCCTATTCGATATAAAGCAATACATCATGTCAACCTCAATATCATCATAAAGGCAATTTTAAGCGTTATGCTTCCACTTTTATCATCTAAACTCCAGAAGAGAGTAAGTGATTTCAACTTTCTTATTAGTTTATATAATAATATATTATTGCCAAATTTTACTTTATTTTTTCTCGTAATATATATCAACAAATACACATTAAATATACTTTTTACATAGATATGCCAATATCTCACAATGTTATCTGAATAAGAAATTAACCCCTTACTTATAATATTTATATGCCAATTAGTTTTATAGATATGAAATCTGAATCAATTTCTACAACTATGATTTTAATAACAGATTCATCTTCATTCTGATATGGAATCTCTATGCAAATTCATCAGCCCAGACTGTTTGCCTTCGGATTACGAAGGAAATTTACCAAATGTCGATCCAACTGAAGCAAATAATATGATTAAAGCTAACGAAGAGTTGTTTATAAGAAGCGAAGAATACGTAAAATTGTACGAAGAACAACTAAATAAAAATTTTACTGAGGGTACATTCAGATACATTGGTGAGGATGCAGAAGAGGAAAAGATGAAAAGATTTATAGAAAAATCAGAAGAAAAATTTAAATGTCATTCAGACAATCCAGAAGCTTTCATAGCTGCTTTGAAAGAAGATTCTGAATTTGAAATTACTCATTTTTAAATACATTTTAAATACATTTCTTCTAACAGTTATAAAGTTACATATTTTGTAACTGTTAGAGGTTAGTTATATTGAATATGTTAATTTTGTAAAGAATTTGTAGACAGCCTGTATTTTCTTACACAGCAGTACTTCGAGTTTTAAAGGAAAAACCAGTTTTACAGACGTTTCGAATTTGTTAATAGAATCAATAATTCCGTTTGTTAACAAGTTTTTTCTTTGTAAAATATATTATTTTCAAAAATTTGATTGTACTTTTTATTATTTTGCTAACTTTATCTGTTACTAAATAGTTAGAAAAAGTAAATATTTGTTCAGTTATATTCATTTGCTGCTAATCTTATTGAAAAACATATTTTTCTGTGATGTTTCAAACACATTTCTTACTGTGTTGTAATAACAATACTAAAATTTATAATTTGTTTGGTGTTTTAGTGAAAATATTTACCAAAGAATGTTTATAACAATCTTACGATCAATCACGATTTAGCATGCATTTAATTGATTATTTAATGTAAAAGGATTACGCTGTGTGAAGTTAATTAATTACACGATTTCTGTATCATTTTTAAATATTAAAATATTTTTGTGTAGAAAAATAGCAATGTAATTTATAATATATATATATATATTTTTTTTTTTTTGCTGTAATTTTTACACCGGTTACATAACAGAAAATCACACGGACATGCCCAATTTGAAATTTATACATAACAAATTTAATCAGTAGTTGAATTTCACTGAGACGAACTTCCAGTTTCTAGTATCTTTTTAATTCAATCAACTTTTACTTGAATATTTTTTTAAATAATTCGCTTAGTGTCATGAGAACTTCAATTTTTTTACTTAACAATTTTATCTATTTCTAGTTATAACTTGTGATATCATGAATTAATGCGTTGATGCAGTTTTAATTTATTACCTTGTCCTGTAGCTTCAATAACTGCATTTTGCCAGATTGTGCAGATTGGGTAAGATTAAAAACGAGTACGAAGTATACAAGTATGAAGTTTTTCTACGTAAACCTGATTATCAAAGCCAAACGAACTGCCGAATTATCGGGTTAGAAGCTTGATGCCGCTACTAAAGCAGCTAAGATATACAAATCAAAAATACTTGACAAGAAAAGAAGGCATCTCTAAAACACATAACATCTGTCTTCTCTTAAATGCATTGAGTGCATTAAAAACTATTTCATCCATATCAACTGAATCGGAGAAGGCATTCTTACAAGGATTCAGGACACAGGAAAAAAAACAAAGAAATGAGAAACCTAATTTGAATACAATCACATGATCTTCAATACAATTCAGTTATTTAAATTTAATTTTAGTATACGATGGAAATCGAAATATAAAATTCCAAGAATGGTGTTCGTAACTGTAATTATTTCACAATCTGTATGTTTAATTAATGAATTCATAACTGAATTAAATTTATGTCAAGTACAATATAGATAAGACTAGATTACGTAAGATAAAAACAACCGATAAAGCGTAATAATAGGCACGAAATGTACATATTGGTTTCATAAAATCTCAGTTAAATCAATCCAAATAGTTAATTGTTAATATTATCATTTCTATTTAACAATAATGAAAATATTATGTATATATTTATCCAGACATTATTAGTTGTGTTTTATTATCGCTCAGCAGCTTATTAAAATATTTATATACAATATTCTAATGGTAAATAAGTTTTAGAAAGTTCTGTTTACCATATAAATAAATATATCCATTTTAATTTTACTTTTTATTTAAATCATAATACAGTAAAAAAAAAAATAATAAAACAAATGTCACCGACTTCAATACAATACTGCACACGCTTTGTTCCCTAAATAATTTGTGCTGAAATGAAGGTCAAAGACGAACCTACATTTCAGTATACAATATTTAAATGTTTAAATGATGAAGAATGCATGTTAAATTTAATAAATTTGCCGGTTTAGTTTCTCTCCTCGTAAATAACAACATAACTCAGAATAACATAATTGTATATTATTCAAAAATGTGTAATTTCCAATTCTGAATCTTATTACAGAGAAGTCATAAATGCTTCAGGATCATCGGAATAACATTTAAATTTTTCTTCCGATTTCTCTAGAAACTTCTTAAGTTTTTCGTCTTCACAATCTTCACCAATGTAAGTAAATTTGCCTTGATTGAAGTGCTTATTTCTTTCCTCTTCGTACAATCTCAAATATTCTTCGTTTTTGCAAAAGAATTCTTCATTGGTTCTAATCATATTCTTGAATTCACTCTCATCGGAAGGCAAATTACCTTCCAATTCCAAAGGCGAAAAATTCGTATGGATGAATTCGTGCAAAGTAGACATGTCGGAATGGAAATGCAATTGAAATATGAAAACATGTTTTGAGAAATTAGTAAAATAAATAATTTGATATATGAAAATTTAAAATACGTAAAGTAGAAAATATTCTTATCCTAAAAATTAATTTCTAAAATATAATTTTATTTATTTCTATCGCATACTATATTCGTCTAATTTTCAGTCATATATTGTAAACAAGGTTGATGCCGTTGAGGATCGAAACCCATAAGAACACAAAGAGTAATGGGAGCAATGAAAACTTGAAACCAGAGATATTTTTAGAAATTACCGATATTCTCTACGAAATCCTCACATATTAGCATGATACTACACAACTGTACAGTCAATAATTTGTAAACAGAAAGATTACGATAAAAAGAGACAAGAACAATCTCTGACATCACGTGAAATAGTGCTGTCAAATTAATACTTTTTACAAATATTACGTATGTTGACGTGTTATTCGCTTTCACCAGCGAATCTATGTACAGAAGAAAAAGAGAAGTGAATTTTTTTTTCTTTTTATTGCATTAACCTTCACATTTTTATGGTTACTATTTTGCTAATTGCTTTATAGTTGTCAAGCAATTATATGATATAGCGGTAAATATCTCAAAAAATGTTAAATAAATCAATATGCAAAATGTAAAAAATATTATATTGAATTTCCTGGCGTATTTTACACTTTGATTTAAGTTTATAATTAACATTTTTCAGAATATTCCTTGTTTAGTAGCATTAAGATTTATATATCAATAAATTATTTTAAATTATACAAATTGTTCGTATACGTTTGTAAAAAGTATTGTTGAAGTTGGTAAATGTTTTCAAAGTATAAAAAAAAAGGCTAAGAAGAAAAATTTAATCAACTTAGGTGCAAAAATTTCTCGTTTTTAACAAAAATCGAATAAATATTGCAGCAAAGTTCTGTTTACATAAGGACTTATAAAAGAAATATCTGTACATAGAGATTATGCAGAGCTCTCTTCTGTTTAAAAAATAATAACTCTGTTGTATCGGGTTTTTGTTTAAATAGTATAAAGAAGAAGTTTCTGTTTTTTAAACAGAATGTTGATACAACGTTGAGAGACTTCACTCTAAAACCACAGAGTTTTACCATAGGCGTGTACGGTTATGTATGTTTCCCAATTTGTTAACACTTGCATTATTAACACTTCTATTGTTAAGGAATACACTTCTTCCATCCCCCGTGGTACCCTACTAAATGTGGTAGCCTACTAAAACGCAGTCACAAACGGAAAAAACCGCATCTAAAATAGTACAATAAAAGCTGAGTGTTTTAGGGTAAGCCATAATTCTCTCCCTCTCTCTCATAGGAAAAGGGGAATTTCAAAAAGCTTTTCTTAGAGTGTGTTCTCGTGCCGTACACTAACTGTGTACCAAATTTCAACATTCAACTCCAAACCGTTTGCGCACTGCGTTTATTATTGTAATTCGATGTGTAATTGTAGAAAAACTGGAACATTCTCAGACATTTTCGAAGTCAATTAATTTTAACACCTATATCTCTCACACCCTTATAGCTATCGAGACGCAAATAATATAGTACACGATGGGAGACTTGGGGCTACTACCACACACCAACACCATTCATGTGCGATGTGTAGTTTTGGCTGCAGAGTTTTGAAATATAGGCACAAACACGTCCATTTATATATACAGTAGAGCGTCGTTTATCCGAATCAATTGGGGACTGGGGTGATTAGGATAACTTATTTTTCGGATAACGAATCATGTACGTAAAAACATATTAATTTATCCCGTGTTGAAATTTTTCTCCGTTGCGTGTCGCTTCGCGTTGAATTTTCGTCGATGTTAAGTCTAACGAAGACTATTGTATCGTTAAAAATTATTTTTTTATTTTGTACAAACAAAATAAATATATTGAAAAATATAAAAACAATAAAAAATTATACTTCAGAAGTTAATTTAGTATCAAAAAC